TATGAACGAGGCCCTCGACGTTTGCGAGCGGAAAATTGTGTGAAATAGATGAGTGCATATTTCATAGGTACACTCATCTCATAGACATACTTCATCTCTCTCGTTCTATAGCGGCAAAAATCCAAGAATTTGAGTGACGTACAAAGAGCAAAGGCACAGATCACGCACACTAGACCGTCGGAAGGACCCGGCACATTAAACGAATTTCATAATTCACTGACTTTCTGCGTTGGTATTTCCAAAGTTCGTTACACATCCCGACTATTATCTCAATCGGTAGATACTCAATGAACCGTTTCGAGAATTGCTTGGACAGTTGGACCTTACACTCTTGGAAATGAACTGCTCGCGCTGCTAGAATTGTGTATGCAAGAAAAAAACTTACCGACTGGTTACTGAGTATTGCAAACTATTATCATTCATATACCAACTAAGTAAACCTAAACTTAACATATTAAATCTACAGCAACCGTGGCGTGGGTTCAAATCCGGTTTTAGTCATTTCGAATTAGAATTATTGTTAATACTTAATAGAATTATTATAAGACAAAACCGCTAGGATGTAATGAATTAGGTATATTTATCGGAGTACTATATTTATACTATCCGTGGTAAAACTATTAATAACTGACAATGGAAAATAGGTTAAATATATTAATATACCAAACAACCATTAAACTACTAGCTGCAACTTATACAATATATTATAGCACTATGGCATTTATCTTCATGTAAAAAAGTGTAACTTTCCGTTAACGTTTTAATAATTAGATAATTTTTAATTTATAGGTTCCATAATTATGTTATATTATGCTGCGTGCATAATATAATACTGCTAAATTCTAATATCATGTTATATATTGATACTGTAATATTTATAATTCCAACTTTTTTAATATTATATTATTGTGTCACTTAACGTTACCTCTTTTTACCTTTTTTTAAAGTTCTGAACACATACAAAAATCCAATGTAATTTTGTTTTATATGACATGTTTTCAGAAAGTGTAGTATATGTTATATACTATAAGAACAATGCCTTGACCGATAAAAAATAAAAATGAATGGTGTAAATAGAAAGATACGGCGGTAAAAGTGTTGAGGGACAGTGTGTGTTTGACGATTTCAAAAGCTTGGAAATGGTAAACTCATACGACAATAAAAAAAATGCTCAGTTGGTTTAGCCACGGGCGAGTTTTGAGAACATTTGAAAAGACAAATAAAAGATTATACTCGAACACACGAACATCGTATACTCGTGTATATGTATACAATACGCACATCTACTTCTACGCATGTATTTATATAATTTACGTGTATATAACGGCATTTGTTGTGAAATGTTGAACATATATCTATGAATAATAATTTAACGAAACCGTATGTTTACCTAGTGTTGGGTGATGTGTCTAAGCGTTATAAACATATGCGTTGACGTGTTATTATTAATTCACATTCTCGTAAATTAAATATAATTCGTTGTAATTATGCCTAGGTGATGTATGATAATGTATACAGAAGGTATGTAATAAATAATATGTGTACTTGAAAAAAAAAACAGTTAGGTATAAAAAGTAGGTTGTTTAATTTCAGTCGTGATGCGTTATATGTGTACAGACTACAAGCACAGAATGCATGAAAACTGACTATTTTCATATAGCCTGTGCTACAAACAAACATCGCGTAATATGCATTTTGGTTCGCGATGTAAGTACCTAAGCCCCGTTGTTGGTAATTCAATGGAATAGTAATGGAATAATGGTAACAACATTATAATATAATACCTAATAATGCAGTTATTATGTAAGTAATTAACACAAAACTCTGTATGATATAATAATACTGTAATGTTTGTTATAAATTGTTGTATATTGGTAAAATGTAACGTTATATATTTTGTGTGAAAATTGTTCAGACTTAACTTAAATATTATCGAGACTTCTGGTAGGTACCAGCTTACAAGGTCTAAAATAAAAATAATAAAACTACTAAAGATCATAAAGATTAAAAAAAAAAAAACAATTGATTTCAATACTATTGTCAGGGACTGGTATTTGCGTATTTTTGTGCTCATTTGCTTAAGAGGTAGACACATGTGAGCTACGAACTTGGATCTAAACGTATTAATTTTGTGGCAAATATTTATTCTGTATCTTCATTTTTAACACTCGTTTTTCAAAATCAAAGTGCGTATATGCATTTAATTGGGCCTTGAAATAACAACACAAACAAATGTATGAATAAGAATTTTGGATGTGTATACATTAGAAGATATTTTGCATTATAACTATAGCTGTTCAATATTTGTCTTTTAAAAACCCGACTTACATGTTGATCAAACAATTTAATTAAAATAAAGATATACTCCGAGGAGTTTATATAAACATTATGATTTATGCACAACTAGTGATTATTATAACATTTATTTTGGTGGGTAAAAAAATGTATAAAATTATCAAAAAATTATTTCTTATTTTTACTAACTTATGATTTCACTAGGCAATCAATAATAATTGCTTGTTGATAAAATCTATAAACATGATGTACACCCGTGAGCATGGTATATTTAGGTTAATTCATACAAGGCGACGGCTGTAAAGTCAATATAATATATATTATATAACAGTGCCTTTTTTTACGACGACACCCTGACTTAAATCCATAAATATAGAGGCACAAATAAAAAAATAATTAATGGATTTTTGAAAAAGTAATAATTATTATAAACCTATAGGTACGCAAATTGAGAATGAGACCATCTGTTCTCCTTTGTTTTTCTTATCTGTGGTTTTTACCATCACGTCATAACGTCGTCATATATTTTTATTTTGAACATGTGCTTACATTAAAATATGTAAACAAATTTTTTGGTGAAACACATCACGGTGATACTTGACACACCGGTTGAGAACCACTGTAATATGGCTTGAGATGTGGTTTTTATTTGTTTAATACATTTTTATAGTGTACATTTAGATAATATATAATAAGATCCTATTTACTAATAATTATTACTATAAACTTCATTTCTAACATTATAGTATTAACTATTGTGCTTAAACCATTGTTCCTACTCTATACCAATATTCATGAATTAAAAAAATGTTAACTTTATAGGAAGTTTGTCTTTTGTTTTACCTCGACCCGTTAAAACATGTTGTGAAATATTTATATATTTGATAAACACCTAAAAAAATATCTCTGAACATTAGTCTCGCAATGAATTTTATGTTTATAAAAAAAATGTTGTTGAATAAATAAACATTTTCTCAGTAAATCTACCTATATTAAGGAAAAAAAATACGGGAAATAACATTTCAATTACGTGGAAAACTTTATGCCAAAGCTATTATCGTCGAAACACGTATTTAATATTTAACGGTGAAGCTTTAACACACATTCTTTTAAGTTAGTATGTGACTGCGTTTACGACAGCAAACGAACCGTATTTGATGTGTGTAAGTTTGATGTTAGCAAGTTTGTCAAACGACATAAAAATAATGGTTTCGACATTTCGTCACACATCTCGAACACATTTTTGATTTTATGATTTAGTAATCAAAGAAACATTTGACTAACTTAATACGATTTTAAGTACCCATTTCATTTATCTAAAAGTCAGATTTCCTAATTCCTTATAGAATTCCATAATATTGAGAGTATAGCGGTTTTATTCAGTTAAAATTATAAATCTAAAGAAATTAAGTATTTTTTTTTTTTAGTTTCATCTAGAAAAAATATAAAAATTACAAAATATATTTTTTTCCAGTACTTTGGGCAATAACTTGACTATCAATTAATCATACATTCAAAAAATAATTATTTTTAAATATTTTCTTTATCACAACTGTTGCTATACCTACATTATAAAATGATGTTGGTATCATTGATAAATACCACTAGATAACTTGCACCATATTTATTGGTATTATTCGGTACATGCCTATCTAACAGTTTTAATGAGTTTTGAAAATCTTGGCTAAAACACGTTTTGATGGAGACTTCGATTTTTAAAAATGTCCATTAAAGTAAACTTACATTGGGCTCTCCCTGGAAACTTTTTAAAATCTTTTTATTTATTTGGTAAATGACTACGTACGTATTGCTTCAATACGTCTGATATTAATACACCAATATCTCTTGATAAAGTGAGTAATTAGGGTTGACAACCGGAAAACACCTGTTCACGGAGAAACTAACTCGTAAGTATATGATGATGGAAATACATAGGGCTTAACATTGTTATTACATTGATTACGGATGACAGTGACTATTATTAAGCACTTTGTAAATAGATAGAATTGTTCGTTGCCTATGTGTTAGACGTGATCGCAGCTTCATGTGCGCTGAAAGTTTAAATTCACGGGATTAATAGAGTTGCATTAACTGGTCATACTGCACTTCATATTTTGCAGATATGAATAAATATACGTATAATATATATACACACTATACATCAAATATCTCTACCATGTATTTAATTATAACCATAAAATAAAAATAATTTTAGCTTGTAAACTATAATCAATTACATTGCACCGTAATCGTAAACGCCGAATTAAACATAGATAGTTGTGTACAGACATAACTACAACATAATAATTTATTGTTCATTTTTTCTTTTATAACCTTTCGCATGAAGTTATGCTTACGACGAATAAATAATCGATATTCTCCTATACTGTGAAATTGTAGGTATCGTATTGCCGCTGACGAAGTTATATTTTGAAGTACCTACCTATTCACTTATACTTTCCTGAAATATCATAAAATGCCTCTGTTGAATGCTCCGTAGCTAAAACGTTGGCATATACTATTTACTACTTAGTATTTCCCAACAGATTCATCGGGAATTCAGCCGTGTTCAAAGGTAGATTATTCGAATATCAAAAAATAAAATAGGTACACATATCGTTATATCATAAATGGTTAATAAAACACACCTTGTATATTAGATTGTCAACAGACTTTCAATGAAAAATTATAATCTCAGTGCTTACCTGGAATTCATCCAACAGTACACGATTGGGTTGTGCATAGAATTGGACATTGCTAGCCAGTAAAAGGCCAAATATACGTCTTGAATGTACGGTGCGTTAGTTAATTCCGGCATATGAGATGTGACAATGAAGTAAATGTGATACGGCAGCCAACAGATGGCGAAAATCGTCACAACGACGATCATCATTTTCACAACCTTCAAACAGAATTAAATACATTTTACAATGTGGAAATATGAATATCAGATAAGAATATTTGTATTTGCGCATGAACTTAAAATTATAAGTTAGTTTGACTTAAGTCATCACGACTGATGAGCCGAGAAATAATTATCATTGAACAAAAATAAAACTTTTATCAGTTACAAAAATGTATCATTTATTTTGAATAATACAAAAATAAAAACAATAATTTACAGTACTAGTACTACTGAAATGTAAAACTTTAAAATGCAAGCATAACTAGTAAATATTGCGAATCAGTATTATGTACCGTGTTTTTTCATAGTCATGTAAACATGTAATATAGGTACCTAATATAAATTTTGTCAGGTTGTAAATTGCATGGTTATTGTTTCAATTGATCGAAAACTGTGCTTAAACGTTTTATACGTTCAATACTCATATTATTTGAAATTTTTCTGAAAAAAAGGTCTAACACATAAAAAAATACCAAAATGTACCCTAATATAAATTATTATTTTAAACGTAGATCGTTCGGTTAGACTAGAAGTGGTTAATACATTCAAATACAATAGGTACATTAAGTAATGTCAACATTATATAAAATAATTTATGTAATTTACATTACACATAATATACAAACAGTTAATATATTTTAAACAAATATTAATTTGTTCACTTTATTTCAAAACAGGTAAGCTTCTCGGTTAATAATTGAATTACTTAGATAAATGTTTATCATTAATGTTGTACAACTGTCATCTTGTTGAGTTTCAACTAGAATTATAATAACCTTCGGAACACCACTGATATTCATAATATTGCAGAATGATTAGTCTTATTTACTTTCTGTTATAATTTATAATGTGATTAAAATTCATAAAATTAAACACACATTTATAGTTTTTAGTTTATCATACAAACTTTTGTTATCAGAAGAGTACTTAATTTTCCATGATCCAGACATCCATCATTTTTAGAATGTAATGAACATTGGGTCTAAAAACGCTAATGATGGAGTACAAGGAACCTTCATTTTTAGAATTAAAATAATGGTAATTATGTTATTTTAGTCTAATGACATAATATAAGATTACAAAAAAACTAATTATTTTAATCTGTTATCAAGTATTCGATTGTAAAAATAGGTTGGTGAAATTTAAACGAAAACCCTATATAAGACTTATTATAACTTACTCATATGCAGAATTATAGAATTACGTTATTGTAAAGTTCTTGTAAGTGTTGAAATCGATATTAGATTAGGAAATTAAATTATCTAAAAACTGGAAAATGTTAATATTATTATATTTATGTAATCAATGAATTATTCAACCTAAGTTTTACTTAAATACAGGTACATACTTAAACTAGGTATTTGATAAACAAATGCATTTTACATTATTGCTAGATTTTGTGTTAAGGTGCTATAAAGTAAAAAAAAAACTTTTATGCATTACCTACATAGATCAAAAATTGATGACACAGATAACAGATACTTTACACTTTTGAAAGGTAATTTGTCAAAATTCTTAATAAGCAAAAAATGTATTCGTAAAAAAAATCAGTGAATTTATGTTGATACACGCCAATGTGTATCAAAATAAACTATTTATAGTGCTTTAATCTGAACAGTTCTTCTAATATAATAATTTGTATTTTGTACATGGCCTACTAAATTATTGTACATAATTTTTGTCCATTAGATTAGTATTGTTTTATCATATGACTTTCTGCAAACAAATTAAAAATAGTATAGATTAGGCGGTTGCATAATATTATTTTGTATTACGATAATTATAATGAAAACTTTTAAGTAACGTAACATAATTATTAAATTCATATAGACATGGCCTCAAATATTACATTAATCCAAAATTCATAAATAAAAAAATTTCGTTTTTTAACTTAAAAATACGTTATTTGTTATATTTTATTTATAGCTTGTTTAACGAAATGAATACATCCATAATCTATTTAAAACTATAATATTTTTTATTAAACATTTATACAGCATGTAATATTGCAACGTATTGCTTGTAGTTGAAATAGTACACAGTAAATTTTTTTTTCATATGAAAAAGGAGCATATTATAATATCTATTTTATTAAAATTCATTTTCCAACACCTTGTAAAAATCTGGTTTAAATTATCTTGGTATTTTTTTAATATCTAATATAAAGCAAGCGCATTTTTACAAAGTTACTACATACTAATATAGTACACAGCTACACATTTTATTAATGTATATGTATTATGTATATATAAGTACTAAAAGCACGGATGGTATTCATTGAGAATGTAAACAGAAAATATATGATTAAACACATTAAAATCCACATAAGCGCAGTTAAATATTTTATACTAAAATGAATATCGCATTATTGTTATAAATTATAATTTATAGATTTTAATTTATTTTACTTGTATAGAACGCCATAATATTGGTTTTAGTTAAGTAACAACAGTCATAACGGAATCTGTCTCAAAAATGTAGCCAAGACAATAATGGCAAATAGATAAATAATTGTATGTCAGACGACTATTTTACAATTCATCATATTATCAATAATTAACGAAATATATGATAACCCCAAAAATAATAATTGGATTTGTATGGTTGTTGTACATGTATAAAGATATTTCTTCCATGAAGTTGTTTTCAAGGAAAAGTCACTGTCGAAAATATTATGATATAGGTACCAGACTGTTGCACTGAGCACTTCAATAAATATACATTTCTGGTTTACCTAACCAGAACATCTAAGTAAAAAACGAAATAAGTCACTGTGCAGATTATAAATTATATTATGACATGCAAATAAAGCGTATCCATATAAGAAAATTTCATTTTAATAATTTTGTAATCTTTTATTATACACCTAGATCAAAATTTAGCGCAAATAGAAGTTCAAGGGCACCAGCCAGAGACAAGTATTCAAAAATGGATTATCTACCTATACGTCTCTCATATGTGTAACATGGCTAAAAATAACTTCACGAAGACTGTCATAAATGATTGGAAAGTGATTTTTAGATGTAAAGTACTTTTTATAATAGTTAAAGAGAAAATATATTTTTACCACTTATTTATTTTATTAGATTTATATCACATACACAATGGGATATTACTTTGATAAAAATATTTTCTTCAATAGTTTCACACTAGAAGAACTATTTTATTAACAATTTAAAACTAAAATACCTATAGGCTATACGACGGATACACTCAAACAGTCAAAATTATCAGCTCTAAAATAGTTTTCCAATATTTTATGTCACATTTCCATGGATTGGTTTTCTTTATAATATAATGTTCCATGACGTGTGCACTGTGCCAGACATTCATAACAATCTTGTATGATGTACTCTCGAACACGTTTATTTGTCTAGTTCTTGTAAAATGTATTTAAACAGTAGGTCGTAGGTACATACACGGGTTCGGGGCAAAGTACTCGTAAACCAAGTTTCGTAGTATTTATTCTTTTTATATCATAAATTATAAGAAAACTGGCAACACACTTCTAGTGGTTAATTTTTTTCACTTATATATTCAGAGGTTATTTACTTTCGAAGGTAACCGAGTGATGAGAACGCTATTGCTGAATAGATAAACATTTCCGTTCATTTTTCAAAATTATTTTTTGAATATCTATAAATAAAATAAATTCTGTGAAACCAGAATATTACAATGTGTGATATCAGTGTGTGGTTTTGAGATTGGTATTATCCCATCGATACCTAAACCGTACGTGTCAAGATATACGGCAGCTATTGCAGGTAGAACAGTGCTTTAATATTTAAAATCTTCTAGTGGTATAATTATTATAATATAAATTGTAAAATAATATATTTAATGTGCTTACTGCTTAAACTAATATACTGTAATGTATGTAATTTTACATAATAATATGATTTAAGTTATCAACAATTGACTACTTACAATAATAAAATGAACTGTACAATTGAAAATCAAATAAATTGTCATTAAAATAAAGAAGCAGAATAGCTTAATAGCGTATTATAGCCATTATCAAGAAACCCATATTAGGTATACATAAACGATAAGACAATATATTATTCCATAACCACTTTCTCATTCTGACCATAATACTGCCTAAAAAAACCGAATAGTTCACTGACAAAAAAAATAGACTTGAACTCCCACCTTGGTTGAATATATTCAAACATCATCATTCTATTTGATATATTTGAGAAATGATGATCGAATTAATTATAATTACCTAACGATAAACATATTGAAGCATATTAATACTACCAACCAATCAAATAATGAAAGCTAAAAAGTTATTTAAGGATGGGTTCAAACTTTAAAATGGCTATTCTCAGGTACGAAAGCAATATTTTTCCGAAGACACACAATAATACACCCGTTGAATTAGAAAATAAACATCCGCGAGCTTGTAATTTATGGTTTTCAACGAAAACACGTCCGGTTAGTCCGCTTTTCTTTCCGGTCATCCCATTACATTATGACGATGGCGGTGGCGACGGCGATGACAATAACGGAGGCGGACAATTTACACCGTTTGTTCGAACACCGAGGGAAGTCGTAACACGTCCGTTAAATGATTTCTTGTCATAGAATAAGCTTATTACCAGACATAGTTTTAACTCGTGTGTGTGATGTATTATTATTTATTATTAATGTCCCTTGTTTTCATTCATATTAGGCGTTTTCTGGCTGGCGTGCTCACGTTACAGCACAACACCACAGCATAGACTGTGCTTTGATTACAATGGTTATAACTTTTACAACCTTATTAATAGTATTAGTTTGTTCTACGTGGGTTTAGAACAATACTAAATAATAAATAATTGTATCATTTGTGTTCTTAAAAATAAAAAAATTAATCACATTTTGTGTGTTGTTCACTGTTCAATTAACACAATCACGACTTCTAACTATGACTGTGTGATCTGGTTCTAATTTAGGAATTTATGTACCTGAAACGAATGCATTGTTCTTACTATACCACTGATATTACCTCA